GTACGTTCACTTTTATTATGGTTTCCACGCAATCCTTTATAAATGAGACCCCTGGACTGTAGATGAGTGTAAACTGTCTGGCAGAAGTCCTGTCTGTGTTTCCTGTCTGCTTTCAGGAAAGCCCAGTCAGGATAAACACTGCTCCAGGGCCTGTCGTGTGTGTGATTTCTCTTTCTGCCTGGCTCCTGTGTTTGTAGGGACACTGTCTGCTCTGTGGTACAGAGTCCTGATCACTCCTAACTTGTGTTCCAGTGGGTGGTGGGAGTCAAAATGCAAATATTGGTCTGTGTGGGTGGGCTTACGATACATACCAGTTTCCAACCGTCCTCCATCCYAAACCGAGACATCGCAATCCAGGAACGCCAACCTTTCTTGGAGGTTGTTGCTATAAAGCAGTTCCCACTCCGCAATTAGCCCAGTAAATCAACCAGAACTTCTACCAATATAAAATAATTAATGATGCGAGTGCAAAATATAACAAAGAAAATATAAAAAGATATTTGGTGGATTAAAAGCTGCACAAAATCTACTTGTTTGACAGGCAAAATATACCACTAAAATATTTAACGTTTGTAGTTACTTTCTATAACCACTAGATGGCAATACACCAATAATTTACAACAAAAAACTACTTTGAGGACTTTATAAGTCAAAAAAATAAAATATWTAGCAGGTAGAACGAATTGGACACTTATTTTTCAATAAGATATTAAAAATAAATTTTGATCAAGTTTTATTAATTTTTTCTATTAGTAGTACTGTGCAAAAATCTTGAGTCCTTCCTRATTTTATTCAAGTTTTGCAGGTTTTTAAAGATGCTATAACTTTTTTCTAGCAAGCAAATTTTTAATTAATGAGGAATGACTTAAGATATGTTTTCCCCACAGTCCTTATTGAAAAATTTTTTTGTAAATGTTTAATAATATGTGGATGTTAATAACTCAGTCACAAACTGTTTCAGGTTATGGCTTTATTCCTGCTGGTATGTTTTATTTTTTAGTTTCTTTTTCATTTTGTAGGACAAAAACAGAGAACAAAACAAATCAGTTAAACAAGTTACAGAGACAAACCATGACACAAAAACATACATCTGTGATAAAAAAAACTCTTAACAACGTTGTGTTGCTTAAATGCCCATCGAGAAACTATGAGTTATAATTTATTACTAACTGTTTTAATGGTGCAAAAACACTCCCATAGATACTTTTAAGGAGGCACTAATCAACAGTTTAAAATGTTTTTATGCATTGCAAAAGTTAAAACAAGAAACATTTTGAATTTGCAAAACAATACATGTGTGTAGTTTCATTAAATAATTTAAACCTCTTTATGGCTGCAGGATTTAACCTTGAAAGTGCGATAACATTAGCTTCACGTTTGATTTGACGCTTTTATGATTGAGGACAGACGACCTTTCGACTTAAACACTGGAGACAGGAGGAGGCTGGACATTGTGCCCAATTCACACAGAAAGTAGGGCTGCAGAATATTAGAAAAACCTCTGATGTGTGATGTTATTGTTCAATATTGCTGATATTAATCACGATAAATCCACATCRCCTCATCTGCTGTTTCTATCATCTAAACCAGGTTGACAGGATATGTATAACTTTATGCCACTTTATTAAACTGCTTTATGAATTATTGCAGACCAGTCTTTGCAGGATYTCGCCACAATATTTCGATATATCGTGCAGCCCCAACAGAAACTTTATTGCCTTGAACATTAATTTCTGACAGTTTTCCTGAGATTATGACTTGAAGTTACTGGCTGATCTAATCCCGCTCTGAGCCCCCCACAAACCCCKCTCTACTCTGCTAAGTGTCTCCTGAGGCGCGCGGCCACCTCCTCGGCGTTGGCCCACGGCACCGTCACGGCCTTGAACACCCCGGGCGTGGCCTCGTGGGTCTCTGTGATCAGCTGGTGCATGGGGAAGCTCTTCCTCGGGAAGGCCACGTCTCGGGCTCCGAGGCAGAGCGCCGGGCAGAAGTCGTTGGCCCCGTCCCCGACGTAGAAGACCCTCTGGTAGGGGCGGCCGCGCTCCTGCGTCCTGCGCGCCGCGTACTCCCGGACCACCGCCTGCTTGCACATGTTGACGGGGCACCGGGGGCAGTCYTGGGAGTGGAAGGGCCGCAGGACCAGCCGCCCGTTCCTGTTGAAGGTGGCCGGGTTGGTGAAGACGCGGTGGAAGAGCTGGCGGACCCCGAAGCGCCGCAGCCACGCCTCGATGAAGAAGGAGTTGGAGTCGGACACCAGCACCACCTCGAAGTCCTGCGAGCGCGCCCGCAGGAACTGGAAGAGGTTGAGCATCCCGGGGGTGGCGGGGATCTTCTCCATGACGCCGCGCAGGTCGCTCTCGGTCACGCCCTGCTCCGACAGGTAGCCCAGCACGCGCTGCATGTACTCGTTGTAGCGGCCCGGCTCGTACGTGTCCTTCAGCCAGCTGGGCAGGTGCTGGTTCGGGGCCGTCTGCACCACCATGTCGTCGCTGGTTTCGTCCACGATGGTCTCGTCGAAGTCGAAGAAGACGAGGAAGCGCTTGTCTGAGTGGGAGGCCATGATGACCCCTGAGCTCCCGCGGCCCCGCCTGTGAGGGGTGAGGTGGGACAGAACAGCCGAAGGTTGAATCCCACAAGAATGTTGTCAAGCATCTCCACCCCCCACGTTCCCCAGAGCGTCAAATATTTAAAACACTCATTGCAAAATCACGAAAACCAAACAAAAACACCTCAGTAAGAAAAAAAAACTTTGTTTACATTGAGTGCGGACCTGCGTTTCTGATTTGTATATCAGTAAATCTGGAAAACTACAGACTTAAACTCTGTCAAACGTCCCCATTTGATTTAGATCAGGGTGACCTCGTTTTACGTTTGGTTTCATATTTTTGCAACGAGTCCCTTTAATCTTTAATTTAATCTGTAAATATAAAACAGGTGAAATTCATCATAAATCATAAACAACAGATCAGTGATTCAACCTTGGATCAGCTGAAGGTTCAAGTCGAGCAGCTGGTTGAACCTGTAAGGTGGTAAAAATACAAAAATCAGACCCTAAAATAAAACCTTTTCGTATAATTATATCTAAAATCTTAATTAGGCATAACCTCAAAGGATTTTTGATTAAAACAAAATGTAAGATGTATACGTATCTGCATAAATCAAATGGTTTAATAGGCTTAAAATATTTAAATTAAGCATATTAGGTTTAAATGAGCATTAATCTTTTAGGTAATTAAGGTTTCCACACAGGAGATAGAAACCTTTAAGCTGTTAGTTTGTCAAACTGCCAATCATTTTTCTTCAAGATAAAAAGCACAAAAAAACAAACAAAAAAAAAACAATTAATAAAATAGAGAATTTTATCTAAAATACAGATTTAAATGAATCACCGGCAGTGGTTCGGCTCTCCGGAGTCCGTCAGGTCCGACCCGGTTCTGTGGGGAGTCCAACCGGCACCGGCGGCTCGCGGACTCTTTTATGTGGCGCCGTGAACGCGCCGAGCCCGCCCCTTTAATGACAGACCACTGCGCGCGCTCCCGACGCTTTCAGCACAGATGAGAGGGTTTCCGGAGGAGGGAAGCAAAAATAAAAGACACGAGCTAAATTAAACATTCTGTTTGGAGGAATCTGCTCTGTACAAACTGCAGGCTTCAGTTGAAGCGTTGGAAATTAAAGGAGTGCTGCCTTTTTAAATCTTATTTTATAATAAGAAGCGTTGTTCCCRGTGATCTGCTGTCTGTGACGTCACCAGCAGTGTTTGAGTTGATGCTCAGCTACTACCACACCAAACTTTAGCTCAGCATCTGTGAATCTGACTGAGTTTCAGACATTTTAGGTTTTCCTAAACGGTCAACAAACCTTCAAATACTATATTTCCGGTGGTTCATGAGCAGTGAGGACAAAAAACAACTGGTGTCACTGGTTTGTGCAGTAAAAATTTCATTTGTGCCACTATTGTATTTAAAGTATTGATTTTTTTCCCGGAGGTCAGCAGATTTGTCTGTATATGGGGGTGAGTTTAGCTTTTTATCTATGCAGGAAAAAATATCAATACCTTAAACACGATAGCGGCACAAACAATTTTTTTGCTGCACAAACCAGCACAAATGTTTGACACTACTTTTGTTTGAATCAGCTAATGTGTGTGTGTGTGTGTGTGTGT